CTCAGTTCATATCAGTAGTTTTATGGTCAAAAGTAGGCATAAACCACCCAAACATATACATCCAATGATACTTGCATTTATAAGATAATGCAGAAAAAGATCAACGCATGCTAATTAACACATAATATAGAAACATTTCCCATACATTCTAAACATTATAAACGTTTGCTACCTCTTAAAGAATGGCATCTACTGATTCTGACTGATATATAACTGATTGGTGTTAGTCTTTCAACAACTGGAAATTAGATGCTGCTTTGAAATAAAATGACTCACTCACCACATGGCTAAGATGAAAAAGACAGGCAATACCAAATGTTAGCAAAGATGTTGAGCTAGAATTCTAACACAGAGTCAGTGCAAATCTGAACTGGTATAACCTCTTTGGAAAACTGGCAGTATCCCTAAACATGAACATTTGCACTTCTACTCCTAGTATGAACATGGACAAGAATGCAACAGAAATGGATGCATATTTTTACCAAAAGACATGGACAAGAATGTGTATAGCAGCACTATTCATAATAGCGCAACACTGGAAACTACGCAATGTCTAGCCACAGCAGACTGGATAAAGTCTAATGTATTCAAATAATGAAATACTGCCATTAAAATAAACAAGTACAACTACACACAACAACATGAATGAATCTCACAAACATAAAGCTGGGCAAAGGAAACCATACACAAAAGCTTCCATTTATTTACAATTCCTAAGCAAGCAAAATTAAGCAATAGTGTCAGAAGTCAAAATATAGCTAACCTTATGGGGGACAGTTGACAGGGACATAAAGGAAACTTCTGGGGGCTGATAATGTTCTATTTCTTGAATTGGGTTCTGGTTACATGAAATATGAACTTTTAACAAGCTTATCATTTGTCACTTCTGCTACATTCAAGCTGGTGCCTAAGGCCAGTCCATATTCAAGAGCCGGAATATTATACTCTACCTCCTGATAAAGCCACATTGCAGAAGAGCAGCTAAGATGAGTAAAAGTGTTATGAAAAGTACACTATTCCAATTACAAGATGCAATGGCATTTTAAATTTTAAATGATATTTCAAATAAATTTCACAATCTACTCTAATTATCCAGGGCAAATTAGAACTCAGCATCCTTCTGGGGAAAAGCAGAAATCTTAGGAAGGGAAAGAAGAAAATAAGATCAACCAAAGCACACAAGACCAGGGAGCATGGGTAATATGCAGTCCCTGCACTAATGACTGTGACCGAGGAATAGGGTACATGTATTGGTCAGTCCCAGTTACATGCCCAACAAGACCACATGAACTGGGAAAGGGGCAATTCACCAAAGAGATAAACAATGGGAAAATAACACATGTCTACTGCGAATGTCATATTTTGTATCTGATGGTCATTACAAGAGAAATTCTTAAACTCATCGTGTCAAGGAGGAGGAAGTATGTTCTCTCCAAATTGCATCTAACTCTACGTTTCCAATGTTCTCTCCCTAACACATATGTCAAATCCATTAGTATTAATATTAAAATATTTTTAAATAAAGATCTGCTGTAAAACATACATCCAAGTGCAACTACTGATGGCAATCATGTTTCATTTCCCTTTGAGTATTTCTCAAAACACTCCTGTCTATGAACATGTGTTAACACTTTTTCATCTGGTAGTTTGGATAAATCTTCCACATTGTTTTGATCACATACCATTCTGTTAACAGCTATGAGTCACACACCAAAAAAATTAACTACAGACCACAGGTGTGGCAAGCTGAACTCCTACTCCCCCTCTCAGGAAAGAATCTTGGGGATTAGAGAGGAACCAGGTTACTATGATGCCGTTAACCAGATGGCTCAGCCAGAGGCCTTATTAGTTTATGTGGGACCCTCAATAACGAAGGGACCAAGACAAGCAGAGAAGAATGTTTTAGCATAATAAAGCCAGAACTCTTTGCAAGAAGTAAACTTAAAGTCATGTTATTAGAAGAAATATACATTTCTCTCATAGACTACATTCCAGAGGTGGGCAAATTTTTTCTGTAAAGGACCAGACAGTAAATATTTTCGATTTTGCAAGTCATACAATCCCTGTTGCATCTACTCATCTCTACCATTGTAGCACAGAAGCAGCCATAGACAATACTTAAACAAATGAGTATGGTTGTATTCCAGTAAAACTTTACAGAAACAGGCCTGTATGATCTGATCCATGGGCCAAAGTCTGTTAACCCCTGAACCAAACCAAAACAAACAAACAAACAAAAAAAAAAGGCTACATCACAGAGGTGAGATGTGTTTATCTTCAGATAGAGAAAGAGAAAGCCTGGACACAGTTCTGTTAGAGAAAACAAACAGAAGTTAAAATATTCCAACTTACCCAGCCCTCTACCCACTTCCTCTCATGGGACCAGAGCCCGATCTTTCTCTCTCCGCAGAATCAGCAGGAGCTAGAACAGATTGAGGCTGTTCACATCCAGCTGAGGCCAGAGGTGGCAGAATTTACACAACACTTGAAGGGGCTAGAACTTCATTCCAAGGGGGGAGGTCTGTTCTGAGGAAATGACAGGGACACCTGGTGCTGAAGGTCAAGGATCTGTAGAGCCAACACTGGGAGAAGTGGAGAGAAGGCAGGAGTTAGGAAGTGAGGGAGTATCAACATCCTGAAGCCCACCAAGAGGGCATTTGTTCCCCTGTGCCCTACAGAGATGTGAATTACCTTACCTAAAGCCCAGGGCCTAATCTTTCTTTGAACCCTCTCTTGAATCCTTCAGAAAAGCTCTTATGCCCACCACAAGGCCCTGGTTCATTTCCTACCGCTCTCCACCTCACTCACTCAGCTCCTCCCATACTGGCCTCCTTGCTGTTCCTTGAACACACCTAGTATATTCCCACCCCAGGGCCTTTGTACCTCCTCACTCTTGAGACAGATTGAAAGCTCTTCCCCTAAATATTCAAATGGTTCACTCTCTTCATTTGGATGTTTCTCAAATGGCATCTCCTCAAAGATGCCTTCTTTGACTTTTCTGCCTAGAAAAGCCATCAGGCTCCAGTCATCAGGCTGTTTAAAATTTTCTTCACAGCACATAACACTACCTGTCTTCACCAATAGCAAATGGGCTACATAAAGGCAGGTACTTTGTTTCGTTCTCTCCAGTATTCCAAGAGCTATAAATAGTACCCAGGACACAGATGGTGCTCAATAAATATTTACTGGATGAATGGATGGATCAAGTACGATATGTCTGTTACAGGTAATTTTATGTGTCAATTTGGTTGGGTTACGGTGCCCAGATATTTTGTCAAACATTATGCTGGATGTTTCTGTGAGGGTGTTTTTGTTTTATGTTGTGTTTTTTTATTATTATTATTGATTTTTAGAGAGAGAGGAAAGGAGAAGGAGAAACCTCAATTTGTTGTTCCACTTATTTATGCATTCATCATTTGATTCCTGTATATGCCCTGAGGATTGAACCCAGAACCTTGGCGTATTGGGATGACACTTTAACTAACTGAGCTTCCCGGCCAGGGCTCCGTGAGGGTGTTTTGGGATGGGTTTTAATATTTAAATTGATGTACTTTGAATAAAGCTGCCTTCTCTCTATAATGTGGGTAGGCTTGATCCAATCAGTTGAAACCCTGAATAGAACAAAAAGGCAAGGGTCATTTTGCAACAGACAGCCTTTGGATTTCACATGCAACATCAACTAGTCTTGGTTCTACAACAGACTGACCACCTTTGAACTCAACCAAAACTCCTTCATGAGTCTCTAGTCCTCCAGCCTCCCTCACAGGATTTTGGACTCACCAAGCCTCCACTACTGTAGAGGCCAATTCCTTAAAATAAATCTCTTTATGTATATATCCTATGTGGGTTCTGTTTCTCTGGAGGACCCTAATTAATTCAGTCTAAGTAAAACTGTGCTAGCTCGTCGACACCCACTGATTTTCACAGCATGAGTCAGGGAGCTGAAACTTCTGCATATTATTGTCAGCTCTACAGGTAATATTGCTCCTGGTGACTTCCTTCCCCATGGCCAGAAAAATGGGGACTGGAGAATGGGGGAGGGACTAATCAAACACATTTCTGAAAGATTGTAACTGATTATGTAAGAAACACTGGTGCTTGGAACCATCTGGAGACTTTTTATCTTCCCTTCACACAATATTATTTCATTCATATTTAGTGAACAGGAAGGTTGAGCTACACCCTAACGGTTAGTAACCTGTCTAGATCCTGTAATGGCGAAGAACATAAAATATCACACATACAGTGTATCTTTATATTCTGTATTTTTAGCTATCTCCATGGTATTTGGATGACTAGATATAGCCATAAATATAAAGTCTATGGCAGAGGTTCTCAACCTGTGGGTCACGACCCCTTTGGGGGTCGAACGACCCTTTCACAGGGGTCGCCTAAGACCATCGGAAAACACATATAATTACATATTGTTTTTGTGATTAATCACTATGCTTTAATTATGTTCAATTTGTAACAATGAAATTGGGGGTCACCACAACATGAGGAACTGTATTAAAGGGTCGCGGCATTAGGAAGGTTGAGAACCACTGGGATGTAGTGTTTTCATAAGATGATTCAGGGCAGTGCCTCCCCCACTCTTCCCACGCCCTAATACAATTTTTTTTTTTTAAAGAAAAAAAACAAAATTTCCTACCCTGATACCACTTCCAAACCCTGACACGAAGAAGCTTGGCTTCCCAGCATTGCCAAAGCGCGGGGGCTGCCTTTGAACGCTTCCGCTCCTCCTAGTTCCCCGCCACCTCCGTCCTCCTAACTGGCGGGAGCGGGGCGCCCACCCAGCCAATCAAAGTTCAACAGGGCCCGCCTCCCGCGCGTCTTTCAAAGGCCATCTAGGAGCCAATGAGCGGTCAGAGGCCTAGCCAGGGCGCCTGGGGGCGGAGTCAGAAGCAGGGAGAGGGCGTGATTGGTTCCTAGAAGACACCGCGCCCCACCTCACAAAGGGATGTACCAATGAGCTGAGCGGAGGGGCGGGCTCGGCGCGGGGTGAGACCCTGGTGCGGCTGAAGGGAGACGGTGGCCGGTCGCGACGTGGGGCGGCCCGCGATGAAGCCGGTGAGTCGGGCCGAGGCTCGGAGGAACGAAGCCGCAGGGTCGGAAGCGGTCCTGGCCTCTGGTGTGGGCTCTCCCACTTCCTGTGTAAGCGCCGTCAGTCTATTCCGGATCTCGGTTTCCTTCTGCTCTCCGGTGCTTGGGCCCCTGGACAGCCTGGTCTGGTGGCATGCCGACTCGCGCAGTAACCGTTTGGGAGGGAGGTGGCGCTTCCCGGGGCCCGCGATGGCGATGGCTGAGAGAAGTGGGCCGGCGGGACGAGGGGAAGACGTGCGCCGGGTGAGGGCTGTGCTGTAGCCTACGGGGGGGTCTTCTAAGTCTCGCGACAGCCATGCCCGTTTTCCTGAGGAAACTGAGGCATCGAGAGCTTAAGCGTCTCCGTCTGCCGCATACCCCCGCCCCAAAGATGTAGCAGGCTGCCTGTGCCCCCTGGGGGGCTGTCCTCCCCGTGGACGAGGGAAATTCCGTGGAAGACGATTGCCAATCCCCGCTCGCGGGTGTTGTCACCGCTGTCACCATCCCCCGGGGCCCCCCGGCACACTGCGTGCCTTTCCCTGAGGTTCCGAGTCCCTGGGTCTGGGGGAGCCAGAAGCGTGCACTTGTGTCCCGAGCTTTAAATCTGTCTGAGAAGGATTGCCGGAGTGGGCCACACAGTTTGAAAGTCTTCAATCATCAAAACTGCTTTTAAGAGGGGGAAAAGGGGAAAAACAGATCAATGCAAGAAGCCGAAGTCCACCTGACTCCCACCCCCTACCCCTCAGGTTGACAGCTTACTGCCGGGCCTTCCTTTGAGCCGAGTATTTAATACTAATACGGATAGGTCCAAGGCACCTCAAACCCACAGCCCGAGGTGGCTGTGTCACGTCGTGTTGTAACAAACAAGGCCGGTATAGAAGGTAGCGTCCGAGCTGGCGAGGGCATTAGGTAGTTACACTTACTGGTCCCAGGGTCGCCGTGTGCTGGGACATCAGCTGGCCTCCTAGGACCTCCACTTGTCCCCAGAGGTGTGGGAGGAGCTGGACACGGGTCGCTCAACCCCCTCGTCCCTCCCCTCTGCAGAGGGTACATTCGGAAGTGCTCTCTGCCACAGGGGAGCCCTGGGTGGTCCTCGGCTGCCCATGGGCGGACGAATCCAATTCTGGAGTGCAGATTTGACAAGCCCACCGACCACTGCTCTAAAGCCATGTGACACCCAGTAATAAAACCGACAGATTGATCTCCACTTGCCTTTCCTGTGGTTTATCTCTCAGTCGTTTCCAAGTAAGGATTAGAAGAAAGGTGTGTTCTTATTGGTGCCCTACAACTCCCAACAGTCTGCCATGTAGAAACGATGCCTGCAGGATTGAGTTCTAACTCCTTAGGTCAGCATACAGAGTCCACCTCAATCTTTCAAAGTTGAGGGCAGGTTATTCCACCTAAACCCCTGTCTCATTCAAACTGCTAGGCTGTGTGGGGGTTATTTTTTTATAAATGGGGTAGGTAAAACATCTCTAGCTTCATCTCCTCTGCTCGGATCTGTTTCCAAATGCACAGCCCTCTCTCCGTTTGTCCTAATAGCCTTAACTTCTTCCCTCTCTGCCCCAAACCTCCTGCTCACCCCTCAAAACCCAGCTAATGCATCTCCTCTGTGAAGCTTTCTCCAGCTCCCAAAGCAGTTATTCACTCCCTTTTCTGCCCCAAAATGCATAGATTATGCTTCCATGTTAGCATTTAAAATCTTCTGTAATCTGTGCACACATGTGTGTTTCCAACTATACTGAAGGTAGGCTGTTTATTTTATGGATCTTTGGTCTCCAGAACTTGGCAAAGGAAGGTGTCCAAGAAATGTTTGTGAGTGAGTGAGTAAGTCTCACTTTATAGTTGTGAAAAACTGAGATCCAGATTTAAATGACATCACTTATACACTAAGTGGTAGAGCCAATACCAGAAGCCGGGTTTCTTGATTCCCAATCCAACTCTACTGCAGTGTACTGTAATTATTAATAGTATGGTGAATCACAGTAATTTATTATTGTTATTGCTAATCTCTCTGGCATTCCAGATTGGATAAATTGCAAATATGCATTCAGTGTGTGTTTAAGCAAAGATCAGTTATACTAAGATGATATGTAAATATTCTTTACAGTTATTTAACATAACTATTTTCTTTTGAAGCCTATTTCATTGCAGACAAGTGAGTTTGACTCATCAGATGACGAACCTATTGAAGATGAACAGACTCCAATTCAGATATCATGGTATGTTAACATTTCTGATCAATGATGAGCTAAAATATTTGATATGTACATCATAATCTTCATAGCAGGAAGTCCACATATTAAAAGTATTTCATTATTCTCTCCCACTGATTATAATTACAATTACGAGATTGTCTAACTCCATGATTTATTTACTATCTATGATAGAATTAGGCTTTTTTGCAGGTGGGTGTGTGTCCTTTATACACTGTAAAAACCAATATAGAAACAGGTAAGTAAGGAGTTGAGATCCGATTGGAATGATCTCCCATTTAGTTCCAAAACCTACTTATTCTTTTATGACAAAAGAACAATGTACCATACAGGGTAAGATATTTAATCATTTATTATGTAGTCAAATCCTAGAACTACTTGCCACAGTAATGCATCTATCAGCAGACCATTTAACATTAAAAGCCAATTGCCATAGATACAATAACAAATACAAATGTTTCTATAGAAAACCAACTTCCAAATCTTGGCAGTGACTTACGGTTATACCAGATTCTCTACACCCAGCAATCAAATGCTTTCTTTCTTGCCTGTAAATATAATCATCTATTTCTTTAAGAAAGCTATTCGCACCCTGGCCAAATAGCTCAATTGGTTAGAGCCGTGGTTGGCAAACTGCGGCTCGCGAGCCACATGCGGCTCTTTGGCCCCTTGAGTGTGGCTCTTCCCAAGCCTTTGGAGTACCCTAATTAAGTTAATAACAATGTACCTACCTATATAGTTTAAGTTTAAAAAATTTGGCGCTCAAAAGAAATTTCAATCGTTGTACTGTTGATATTTGGCTCTGTTGACTAATGAGTTTGCCGACCACTGGTTAGAGTATCCTCCTGATACACCAAGATTGTGAGTTCCATCCCCGGTCAGGGCACATACAAGAATCAATCAATGAGTGTATAAGTAAGTGGGACAACACGTCAGTGTCTCTCTCTTCTCTCTTCTCTTCTCTTCTCTTCTCTCTCTCTCTCTCTCTCTCTCTCTCTCTCTCTTTCTCTCTCTCTCGCTCTCTCTCTCTCTTTCTCCTATCTAAAATCAATACATTTTTTTTTTCATTTTTTAAAGAAAAAGAGAGAAAGCCATTCCCTACTATAGGAAGAGAAAAAGAGTAAAAGTGTTATCTTTAAAGTTTTCTGTTCTGCCATCAAATAGCAATTATCTTTCATTGCCCTTTCCAAACTCCCTTTTAAACTCAAAAATTCATCTAATTTTCAAAGTCAAGTGGTATTTATACGTTGCCCCTGTTTTCCTCTACACTCATTTTCTGTCTTACAAATAAGGTAAGCCTCTGCCCTGCTGTCCCCAAGTACTGCAAACTGGGAATATGGTTCTTGAAATTATTTCATTTTATCCAAAATCCATTACTACAAGGAATGGGTGGCCTGTGATTTTTTTTTTATCATATGAAATTATATCTGTTTAAGGAGGTCCTACAAAGGAATCTTAAAATAGTAATGTAGAGTGAATGCTATGGATGATATTGTCAGATGGTCATTTTCCAGCTTATTTCTGAAGGTTACTAGGACAGCATATCTCAGGGTAGCTTAACGCTTTATGCTAGGTGTTGGCATTCTAGGCATTATCTTTAAGGTAAGTTTAACTTGCCACTTTTTAGGACTTAAATTGTAACAAAGCAAATGACAAGTCTCCGTTTCAAAACTTCCAGTTTTTTCTAGGCCTTTTTGTGACCAATGCATTGATATTTAACTATGAATTTTTGTTTTGTGACTACTATAGACCTTTAAAACACTCTTGTTTAGTGGCAAGCACACACGTTTACTAAATTGAATTTTCATTTATAACTTTTTAAAGACTGAACTATACTTGATAAAGTTTTATCTTTTCAGGCTGCCCCTGTCACGAGTGAATTGTTCTCAGTTTCTGGGTTTATGTGCTCTTCCAGGTAGGTAACACTACCGTTGGCTTCTTACTGATATATTTAAAGGTGGGGTTTTTTCTTTTTTAGGTTTTTGTTTACTTTTTTGTTTTTGGTCAGCTAACACATTATTCTCCGTACTGAGTAGCAGAATTTGCCATCAGCACGGACACTCACTTTTGGACCATAGGTAAAGGAACATAAGTACACTCTTCCACCCTTCCAGATCCACATTCACAGTTTTACATTTCTGACTTTCCTATCTTAATAAAATGTAAACCCTGCGGTACAATGTGAGGCTGGGGACTATAGCTAGGTACTTACTACCAAAAGAACATAGAAGAAATAATCCTCACATTAGGAGTTCCTTCAGCTGGGATCTATAAATCTCTGGGTTCTATTCCTAAGAATATAAGAAATTGAAATTTACAGTCAAAATGGAATTGAAGCATATTAATGATCATGTGGAATGTCTAAGTAGCTATATTATGTTAAAATATACTTGTAATATATGACCAAAAACTGACTTTTTCACTTGTTTTATCACTACTTATAGGTTGTAAATTTAAAGATATTAGAAGAAATATCCAAAAAGATACAGGTAGGTGTAATAGGAAACAACCATGTTAATCGTTTCTTTTTAAATAACACTAACAGTCTTTGTCAGAAAGAAAAACTGTAGTCTCTTCTCAATATAGCAAATAAATGACTGATATTTCATAAAATTTCAAACCACACACTTATTCTAATATGTAAAGAGGTATTTTTGAAGGGTACAGAAAACTCATCATTCACTAAAATAAATACGTAGAAACTGCCTTTGGGTTTAGAATGTATAAGTTGGAGGGAGAAAAATATGTAAATGGAAAACTGACATTGCGTAGATTTTTGAATGCTGTTCTCTACAGACTTGACTGTGGTAGTGGAAAGTAAGCCTGAGCTGGGAACCCAGAGGTAGCAGGGAAATTGTCCATCCCACATAGATAATTTAGGGAGCCAGCATCTAGGTGGGAAAGATGGAGCGGGGTCTGATCTTCACATGGTCAAGGATGTTCAGACCACTATAGCCTCAAGTCTGATAATCTCACAAATATCCTGATAATCTACCCCAATTTGAAATTTACACATTGCATGATACTAAAAAACTAAGATTTTCAAAATATTTTATTCTAGTTGGCCTGGAATATTTCAAGGCTACTAGTCTTACCAATGTCCTTATAACACATCAAAATAAAAATGTTACTACTTGATTCTGACCAGTATAGACTTGTTTAATCTTTATTTTTTTCTGGTTTTAGAATATGAATTTGCTGATGTACTTTCTTTAATTTATTCCTTACCTACCAAAAAAAGACTTAAAGAGGCTAATAGATTTGTTGACCCTTGTAATATTTGTAAAACTTTTCTGAGTTAGAGACACCCACTATGGTAGGAAATTTCCATTTGAAGAATATTTAATGTAAATCACTGGTTCAAGATCCAACCTTGCACATTTTGGAAAGCCCTATTTATTTAGTATCTTCTATAAGAGGGGTTTCCAATATTTTATCACACCTTTTGTTTTTCAATGTAATTCAATATTTTTTAAAAATGACAATGTTTGATAGAGACCTAGAATCTCCTAGTGGCAGTCCCTGTGGTCCCTCCTCAAAGTCCTTTCCAGGGAATTTTGAAAACCACTGTATAATTGAAATTACCCAATGTGTACAAGAGGCAAATAGAAAATTACTTCCTCTTAAAAATAATCAGGTGTGTTAATGATAGGTTAAATCTTTTTAGAAGTATAAAAATATGGCAGTAATATCTAGAGCACCACTGTCCATAGAAATATAATGGGAACCACAAGTAGAGATCATATATGTAACTTCGTATTTTCTAGTTGTCTCATTAAAAAAAAAAAAAGGTGAAATTAGCATAATAATATATCTTACTTAACCTAATATAACCTAAATAGAATCATTTCAATGGGTTTTTATTATAAAACAAATTATTCATGAGATAGGTAAGTATCCTTGCATTTATGAGGCGGGGAGGGAGAAGAGGCTCAGCTCAGCCAGAATTAGATATTGCCATAAGAAAGTTCTGGTGTATAGAATGGCCTATGATAGTATTGCTTGGTTCATATTCATTATAGTGAAAGTAGCTAAATTGCATAACTCTAGTATAGTTAGTGTTTTATTTCCTAAAGACCTAGTCCATAAATTAAATCCATGATGGTGTAGTACAGTATGAATATAAGGGAGAATACAAGAGCTCTGGCACCATGGCCATGCTGGAGATGTTATATACAATGCTTGGGGTAACACAAAACAACAGATTGGTGAAAGCAGCAAACATGGTTGGTTTTGTGAGAAGAAAACAGAAAAAAAAAAGTGCTATCATCCTTTCTCAAGAGTTTATTTTGAAATGTTAAATTTATTTTTAAACATATACTGTAAAAAATGTCAAGAACAAAAATATAATTGACTCATTTTTAAATTCAGTAAAAAGCATTTTGAGTTATAAAGTCTGATTTAATTTTAACCACCTTTCATTGCAGATGTTTCGTTAAATCCCATTTTATGGATAGTGACTTAATTTTTACCCTAGTTTGAAGACAGATCAATATTGTTTTAGATTATCAGTAAGCACTTCAAATTTATAGATTATCATTTATTATTTACTTAGTTTAGCTTAAGAAATGTAACTCCAGTTATATGGCTGGTGTGGCTCCGTTGGTTGGGCATCATCCTGTGCACCGAAAGATTGCTGGTGGTGCGTGCCCAGGTTGTGGGCTCCATCCCAGGGGGGGCGGGGGTGGGGAGGTGCAGCAGGCAACTAATCGATGTTTCTGTCTTACATCCATGATTCTCTCTCTCAAAAAATCAATAAAAACATTTTTTTTTAAATAATAGTAATACCTTTAAAAAAAGAAATGTTAACTCCATATGGTGTGTGTTTGTGTATTTTGGTCTTTTGGCAGAAGAACTAAAGAACTATGGCATACAAGACATATTTGTTTTCTGCACCAGAGGGGAACTATCAAAATATAGAGTCCCAAACCTTTTGAACTTCTACCAACAGTATGGAATTACTACTCATCATCATCCAATCCCAGATGGAGGGACTCCCGACATAGCCAACTGCTGTGAAATAATGGAGGCGCTTGCAATATGCCTTAAAAATAACCGAAAAACCTTAATACAGTAAGTTCTCCTTTTCTCCATATATTACATGAGAAATGTTCCCAGTCAGAATGACTTCTCCAATTACTGCATCTTTATTCAGTTATTACTTACCTTCTGTTTTGTTGTAAGGATTAAAAAGAAAGAATGCATGAAAAGTACCAGCACAATAGCTAGTACAGAGCGAGTACTCAGAAATTTGCTTTTATTACTTTTGAAGAATAAGGACAATAAAACAGTAGATTTTGAAATTTCTAAAATAGGGTTACAGGCTTTTCTTTTCTTTTGTCTTAGATCTTTACTTACAATTTTAGGACCCTCCCTCCCAAAAAAAGAGTGTGCATTATTTTTGTATTAACTTATTGATCAGCCTTTCAGTTGCTTCCAACAGCAAGAAAGTCAATTTTTTTTTAAATCAGCAGTAAAGAAATAATCCTAAGCAATCTACTCTTTTATTGTCCTTAACTCTTCAAAAGTAATGAAAGCAAATTTCTGAGTGCTCGCTCTGTACCAGGTGTTGTGCTGGTACTCTTAAAAATATGACTTGAAAATTATATTTGATTATGTGAATTTGCTGCCAGTATGAAAGAGAAACTCTCACTGTTTGTCAAATGGCTATACACAGCTGCTGATATGAAAGCTTAAAACAAAATAAAATAGGCTAAGAAAGAAAGAGGAGAGAAGAAAAAGTAGCTTGTAGAAAGGAAGAAGAGAAGTGGTGCTATGGATAAGGAGAGCAGACACTCTGCCAGAAGTGAGACACAGCAGAGGGCCAGCCACAGGGAGCAACCAGTCCTTCTCTGTGCTCATGCTTTTTGCAGCCTAATAAGCTGCTTAATCCTTTCTGAAACAAGATAGAATATTAAATACTCTAATACCTCAAAAGCCCTAACGTCCCTGAATTCATTGCATTGAGTTAGAAATTATGCAGACTAACCGAAATAACCGAGTAGTCTTAGACCACGTAGGACAGTGGTTCTCAACCTTCTGGCCCTTTAAATACAGTTTCTCATGTTCTGACCCAACCATAAAATTATTTTCGTTGCTCCTTCATAACTGTAATGTTGCTACTGTTATGAATCGTAATGTAAATACCTGATATGCAGATGGTCTTAGGCGACCCCTGTGAAAGGGTCGTTCCACCGCCAAAGGGGTCTCGACCCACAGGTTGAGAACTGCTGACCTAGGAAAAGGGCAAGCCCAGTCAACTTCTCTTCTCTGACCTAGAGCTCGGGCCTCATGCAACAGTTCCTGTTCTGAAGGCAAAGCACAGTAGTGCAGGGTCTTTGAGGGCACACACCTGTTTGTGGCCAAACTGAACTCTGACAAACAGAGAACTAATAGGGAATAAAGAACTAGAAGCCATCCTACAGTTTGCAAACTTACTCTAGAGAAAAGCATCATCTCTCACTGTAAGCAATTACTAATTGCTTTACTAATTATAAAAGCAAAATTTTAGAATAAATAGTTGTCTTTGCTAAATATTCTAAGCCTAAAATTCATTAGATAATTAGATGTAGCTAGTGAAAAACATTTTCCAATTTTTGGACCCTTTTTTTCAAACAAATTCTGAGATTTTTTTTTCAAGTAAATTTTTTTTTTCTTTTGGTGTTTTTTCAAGTAAATTTTTGAAAGATTTACCAGAAAGTTTCCAGAAATCAAACTAGCTCAGATTAGTGAAGCTTAACAAAATCCACTCTAATAGGTTCTAGCAAAACAAATACTCTGAAGTTTGAACAGAATACAGAGAGGATGGAAAGATGGGTGGGCAGCCTTGCATATGTTAAATGCTTCAGGCTCCCACAAATCATCTGAAGACTGGAAGTTTTCGTTGTCCCAGAGCTTTCAAGGTGTCCTGGAGTAACTATTGTTGGGACAAAGACAATTTTCTCTCCATTCTGCCATCTTTGAGTGCCCAGATGACCATACAGCTCTAGAGTTTATCCCTCTGAAACAGGGTCTGGTACATTTTTTCACTGTCTCACTAGTTCTCCCTGGACATTTCATTCCTTTATAAAGTCAGTGAACACTGCTTGCCTACCATGATATACCGTTTCCGAGAGCTGTTGTAACAAAGTACCACAGACTGGATAGCTTAAAACAACAGAAATTTATTCTCTCCCAGTTCTGGAGGCTAGCAGCCCAAAATCAACACCAACAGCCATACTCCCTCTGAGACAAAAGTCTTTCCTTGCCTCTCCCTAAGCTTCTGGGGGTGGCCGGCAATCCCAGGCATTCCTTGGCCTGCAGCTGCGTCACTCCAGTCTCTGTCTCAGTCATGACATGATTGTCCCTGTGTGTTTGTGCCTTCATATGGTATTTTCCTCTATAAGGACACCTGTCAAATTGGATTAGGGCCCACCCTAATGATCTCATTTTAGCTTGATTACTAGTACATCTACAAAGACTGTTTCCAAATGAGGTCACATTAACAGCACTAGGGTTAGGACTTCAACGTATCTTTTGGGGGACACAATTCAACCCAAAACACATACTGTGTCCCAAACTGAATACACACTGTGAAGCACTGCCCCTACCCTCAAGGAATCCACAGCTAACAATGCTACCATGTGAGTGCAAAACTCACACAAGGTGTGTATGAGGCAGCACCCAGGACAGAGATAGTTTCTGTGGGAGTGCAAGGCATTTCAGGGAATAAAATTGGAGCTTGGTTTTGAAGGATGAGTAGGAATCAATCAACCAATCAGACAGAGGAGGAAAGATAGGAGTAGCAAGAGGTGTAAAGTAGTAGTCATCTTGCAGAAAGCCACTGCAGTGCTCTATCTACCTTTCTGCGGTGGATCCTCATCTCTGAAACAGGCCTACATCTGGGACACTGAGTAGAAAGCCAGTTCATGAATTCTCTGCAGTGGTCAGCAAACTGCAGCTCGCGAGCCACATGCAGCTCTTTGGCCCCTTTTATTTGCCACAAAATACCGACTTCTGCGCATGGGCCACGAAGTTTCAATCGCACTGTACGTGCGCGCCTGCACGTGGTATTTTGTGGAAGAGCCACACTCAAGGGGCCAAAGAGCCGCATGTGGCTCGCAAGCCACAGTTTGCCGACTACTGCTCTAGAGGTCAGTGCCTGTCTGGTCCTCTGCCTCACGTCCTGTCCGGAGACATGTATGTACAGCTTCATCTACAATACACTACAGTAATTGATGTTCAGGATGAGTCATCAGCACCCAATTGGGTTCAGTATATGCTCTAAGAAAGTTAGGAAGTGTGTAATACATTTTTTAGGGTCTTTGAAAATGACTAAAATGATTTTGTTGTTTTCAAGGTTAATCTTCATTTTTCGAGATCAGTTTTGCAGAATTGCTAATATCTTTATAGCGCTAACATTAATTTACTTCTTACTCTGTGCCAAACTCAGTTCTAAGCCCTTTACAGATGTTACCTCATTTAGTCCTCCCTACGAAGTAGGTACTATTGCTGTCACCATCTTATAGGTGAAAAGGCTGAGGCCCAAGAAGCTAAGTAATTTACTTAGGTTCAAGCATCTAATAAATATAGATCCAGAGTCAACCCAGGCAGTGGGGCTCCAGAGCCCATGCTCTAAACTTCTATGGTATGTTATCTCTGTACTCTGCTAAGGTAAATGAAGAGTTATTATACAGACAGCACTTGTCCCGTAACCACTAAGGTTTTATTCAGAGGAAGACAATCCAAGTGGCATTTGGTAAAATAGTCTGATTTCTACCATATTTAGTAACAAGTTCCACTTCTCAGATGTAGATCCTGGAGTTTAAAGAGGTCACTAAAAAGACCTTGCCTACTTGACCCTTAGAGGTGTTCAGAATAACTGCTCTTCATCATATAAATAAGCACTTTGCTCTTCATCAACTCAAAAATACTTATTAATCACGGTTTGCAAGGCACTGTGCTGGGCATTAAAGTTAAAAATAGATGGCAGAAACAACAAGTCTTTCGTTGTAATTGTTGGGATGGAATGAAAATATATAAATTTCAAAACTGTTCTTCCCTTTCAGCTGTTATGGAGGAATTGGGAGATCTTGTCTTGGTAAGAAATATATTTTCATTATTCAGTGTTTTTTTAACTTCTAGTATGCAAACTCCTCTTTCTGGAGCATATGTTCACGGTATGAAAATGAAACAAAATACAATATAAGTCTGCTAGGACCCATCAGTTTATTTAAGGCCGTAAATTTGGTGTTCCCTAGGAAGCTGAGGTGGGGGCGAGAGGTGTTTTCAACATTGTTTTGGAGGATTCTGCAAAACATAATTTACAAGTCTTAGCACCTGCATTCTTGTGTTTTGTTTGGTTTTCTAATGTTATCCGTATGCAGGTGTTATGATACCAACAGTAACTTCTAAATAATACCCACTGGTAACATAAATATGAAAACCAAAGTTAATTACCATATGTTAACTTTAAACTTAAAAAAATGTATTAGAGAAAAAAACATTTAATGAAATGCCACACTGGAGTAACATTTATTCCTTCTAGTAATGGACAGTATGGAAATTAAAAACTTTTGTGTTTCAAAGAACACTATCAAAAGACATTATGGGGGAAGTATTTGCAAACCATATATCTGATAAGGGACTCACTAGAATATATAAAGAACTCATACAACTTGATAATAAAACAACAAACAATCCAATTTTTAAAAAAGAGAAAAATATATAACTACATATTTCTCCAAACAAAATATACAAATGACCAATAAGCACATGAAAAGATGTTCAGCCCGGCTGGTGTGGCTCAGTGGTTGAGCATCAACCCAGGAACCAAGAGGTCACAGGTTCAATTCCTGGTCAGGGCACATGCCCGGCTTTCAGGCTTGATCACCAGTAGTGGTGTACAGGAGACAGCCAATCGAAATTTCTCCATCAATATTTCTATCTCTCTCCCTCTCCCTTCCTCTCTAAAAAATCAATAAAAACATTTAAAAAAATGTTCAGCATCACTAGTCATCAGGGAAATGCAAAACAAAGCCACAATGAGCTCTGGCCAATGTTGCTCAGTGGTTACAGCATTGGCCCGAACACCACAGAAGGATCACGGGTTCAATTCCTGATCAAGGCACGTACCTTGGTTGTAATCCTCGCCTGTGGGAGGTAACCAATCGATGTGCCTCTCTCTTCCCCTCCCTCCCTTCCACTCTCTCTGGAAAAAAATAAATAAATGGAAAAAATATCCTCTGCTAAAGATTAACAATAACAAAAAAGCCACAATGTGATACCATTTAATGCTCATTAGGATAGCTATTTTCTAAAAAATGGAAAATAAGCATTTGCTAGGATGTGGAGGAATTGGAACCCTTATACAATGCTGGTGGGAATGTGAAATGGTGCAACTGCTTTGGAAAATAATTTAGCAATTCCTCAGTTAAACACAGAGTTACCACATGACCCAGCAATTCCACTCCTAGATATATACCCCAAAAGAAATAAAAATGTTATGTCCACACAAAAACTTATACGTGAATGTTTATAGCAGCATTATTCATAATAGCCAAAAAATTGAAACAACCTGAATTTCCAGCAGTTGAAAAATAAACAAAATGTATATCCAAAAAACGAAGTATTCATCCATAAAAACGAACATGCCACAATATGTATGAATCTTCAACACATTATGCTAAGTGAAAGAAGCTAGTCACAAAAGACCATATATTGTTCCATTTATTAAAAGTGTGTAGAATAGGCAAATCTATAGAGACAGAAAGTAGGTTATTGGTTGTTTAGGGCTGGGGTGATGGGATGGTAGGGGGATGGTAACAAAAGGGTACAGGGTTTCTTTTTGAGGTGGTGAAAATGTCATACAACTGACTGGTGATGGCTGCACATATCTGAATACACCATAATCCATTGACTTATATACTTTAAATTATATAGTTATATGATATATGAATTATCTATAATAATAAAAGCATAATATGCTAATTAGACCGGACATCCTTCCAGATGAAGCTGGAGCTGCAAGGGAAGCCCAGGTCCCGGGTGCTGGAAGCCAGTGCCAGGTAGCCAGGGAAAGGAAGGCCTACTCTTGCACGAATTTTGTGCATCGGGCCTCTAGTAATTCAATAAAGCTATGTGAAAAAAAAAGAATGAAGCCAGTGTTAAACTTTTAATTCAATCATTTAAAATTACAATTTAACTGTCAAAAAACACATACTAAGGCCTCAGTCTTTTAATTCATTTCGAACAATTACACCAAACTTAGTGTTCTGTACCAAAGTAAGTGTAATGAAATATAAAATGCTCTACCCTACCATTAATTAGTTAATAATTTACTATTTTCCTATCATGTTCTATTAGTAGCCGCTTGTCTCCTACTATATCTGTCTGACACAGTATCACCACAGCAAGCCATAGACAGCCTGAGAGACCTAAGAGGATCTGGAGCAATACAGACCATAAAGGTACGGAGGTGGATTGTTTTTGTGCAGGTGTGATTGGGGGGCAGACCTTTAGAAACACAGGGTAATTCATCATTGTGGGGAAAGGAAAAGATGTCCCCTTCTCTCCTCTGGTTCTTTTTGGCTGGTTGAATAATTAAATCAACATGAGATATTGACAATAAAAAATCAAATTTATGTTCAGTAATTAATTTGCCCTGCCATATAGATGAGTTATCTCCAATAATAACTCATTATCAGCAAGGCTGTAATTCAAATCCCTCTACTAGTAGATGGTTGGAGAGGGAGTGGCAGAAGTTTCTCTTGAGCCCACAGGGTCTCGGTTGCCTTTAGCTCAAAATAACCCATGTACCACTGACATACGTCTTGGGGTGGCTGGTTCTGAACCCCTATATTATGAAAAGGACAATAAAAATCCAAAGCATTCTATTATTCATATTATCACCTGTTTATATTTTAATTGTTTTAATTTAAATATAACCTGGATGTCTAAAAAAATTCAATATTGCAAAAATAGTGAAAAAATTTGAACTTCCCAGTTTACTCTTCAGGATCTACAACTGTTCAGTTTTTGCCCCTTCAATTCTGGAAGTGAATCCTCACTTGGAAAAATGAGATGGTTACCATAAACTTGGTATAAATAATACCCACTGGTAACATAAGTATGAAAACCAAATGTAGTTCCTTGGGTAGATTTTTATTGAAAAAAGATCTAATGAAGATCTTATATCACCCAAACACTTAATAAGGATAGATGACTATAATACAAAAAAATGTAAAGCAATGCTAATTATCTTTCACTGTGGATAATCAAAGTGGCATTTTCCACATTGACTTTTCCCTTAACACTTAAAAAGCACTGCAGTGGCAACACCCAAGGATATCTATAATAATAAAAGCATAATATGCTAATTAGACCAGATGACCTTCCAGATGAAGCCAGGGCTGCAAGGGAAGCCAGTGCCGGCAGCCAGGGAAAGAAAGGCCTACTCTTGCACGAATTTTGTGCATCGGGCCTCTAGTTATTATATATTAATCATGTTGCTGAAAAGATTCTGCAGATTTCACTTTATTTTAGCTCTGTAAAGCTCAAGCAGGAGCAGGCACTAAAGAATGTTGGCTTTTAGGTGGTTCCCTGAGCTGGACAGTCCATCTTCCCAGGGTGCAAGTCTAACCAAGTGTAATGAATGTGAATTATTACAACTGATGAATTCCCCGAGCAGCCTGGCTCTCAGTGCTCAAATAAGGTCATGCACACGTTCTGAAAACAGAGCTTCCTTTGTTAAGATCAAATGAGGCTTCAAATTCAAAATGTTCAAGTCTCTCTCTGAAACAAAATAAAATACACGTAGCTGTACACATATATGCACTTTTTACATCTTTAATCTTGAGAGAATTAAGCCCACGTTAGTATGGGCTGTCAATTTATCACCTTAGCATTCTGTGGCAAACAGGCTTTTCCTCATTAGCAGTATGCAATTTCAACCCCTCAGTAATGAGAGGGAATGAGATTATTGGCAGAGTAAGAATATCCTCTAGGAAGCTACTAAAGCTCCAAATAAGTTAAAACTTTTTAAAATGTGCTTATTTGTTAAGATTAATGATTTGTAATATTATCTATATGAAAATTATTCCAAATGGATGTCATCACAAAAAGGGAAAAAATAGGGCTCTATAAATTAATAGATTTTCTTGAATATTCCAAAGTTAATTGCTTTAGAAAGTCCTTCTCTGCCCTACTTACCCACACCCCCTCCCACGGGGGAAAATACACTTACAGAAAGAATGCCTTCTCTGCCTTTTTAAAATCTTATTTGCACCTGCCAGTAAAGGGAGAAAGGATTTTTACAGATTTATAAAATATTCATCTGTTTCAAGGTACCTTCTGATTTTTGAAGCAGTTTTTCACTTTATGCAGCTTTATTGAAATATAAATGCTTGCTTATCCCAAAGGATGTAGGATTGTTTTTAGCAAATGTTTCTGATTCTTGATTCCTACCAGCATTGAGACTACTCTGGGAGGTAGTTTTCTACAATATATTTCAATATATCTTTACTTTTTTCAGCAATATAATTATCTTCATGACTTCCGGGACAAACTAGCTGCACACCTGTCATCAAGAGATTCACTATCAAGATCTGTATCTAGATAAAAAAAAAATTCCAAACAGCATATATATGACCATGTCTGATATTTGAGTTCTCTAACGTGAAACCATGTTACCAACTTGAATGTAAATGTATATGTGCAGATATTTCTAAAGCTTTTATTGATAAATTTCATTGTGTCTCTTTCATCTTTTATAGGACAAAAAATTGCTATATAGTTTTCCTTTTAGAAATGAACTGGCTGCTCTGATGTATTTAACCAGGAGATAATGCTGAAAAAAGCATATGGGAAAAATATTTGGTTGCATATTTTTATTTACCACACTTTACCTCATTTTACTATTGTAACTACTGGGTGGCATATAACATAGTACTAAGTGTGAAAATTGGTATAGGTACCCAAGCAAGCTAAAATTATTTAAATAATTTTAACTTTTTATTCCTCTCAAACTCTTTCCCATTTTTTTTCTACTTCATAAATAAAATTGTGAGGGATCCTATGGATCTAGTCACCTCCCTGCCAATACTGAATCATTCCCGACAGCTGTGTATCCAGCCAGCATTTGCTTGGCCATTTTCAGAGACACGGAATTCTTGGTTCAGACAGCTGCTCCGGTTTTAGAACATTTTTTCCACCCTAAAGACTACATGAATGACTTTAATCCCTCTTTCACATTTATTGTATAAAGTACTTATCTACAGATTAACAATCTCCAATTCTCACTCCTTCACCTTACCTAAGGCTATTGAACATGTCTTTTTCCCCATCAGCAGTCTTTGTCTTTCTTTTTTTAAAATATATTTTATTGATTTTTTACAGAAAGGAAGGGAGAGGGATAGAGAGTTAGAAATATCGATGAGAGAGAAACATCGATCAGCTGCCTCCTGCACACCCCCCACTAGGGATGTGCCCACAACCAAGGTACATGCCCTCGACCAGAATCGAACCTGGGACTTTTCAGTTCGCAGGCTGAAGCTCTATCCACTGTGCCAAACAGGTTAGGGCTCTTTTTGTCTTTCAATTCAAGGCTGAGCTACCAATAGCAGTCATTTGGACTATAGATAAGGATTATACAATGAATCAAAGCCACCTGTTTTAACAGACATCAGTGTTTCAATGTCATATGAGGTGGGTCCCATGGCTCTCTTGGTTCCTTATAACCACAAATGTGAGCCAGGATCATCATAGGCACTTGCACACAAGACAGTAAATTTCACCCCATCAAAACTTAGTTTGTAAATAATATAATTACCCCCCAAAAAACTTATTTTGTCTCACATTCTTCTTGCTGCTGCTGAGCTACTTGAATTTCATTAGGCAATATTTTAAAACAATTACTAGTGCTGTTTTGGAACTTCAAATCAAAGGTCCAGTACGTACCATAATATACAATCAGTATTTTAACATTCTTATGTTTAAACTGGAGATTTCTTTTCCAATACAAAAAATGCCAACTTATAGCAAGAAAGGTTATTTTTTTAAAGTACAGGCTGTGATCATAGATTGACCTTCCTAATGATTTTGGTATTATAACCAAATACAACTTAAAATCACAATAGTCTATTAAACTTTAGGAAGTCAATCAAATTGACATGACCAAATCTTATATTAGCTTTCTTCCAATATAAACCTATGGCTTATTAATGAATACTTACGAAATGAAGGGAAAATGCTGGCCTGGATTAATCAAACCCTTTATAATCAACTGAATTGTCAAGTGCACACATGTATTAATTTCCACTGGAAGTGCTCATTAAGCCTTTCCATTTAAATGCTTGACTAAACTACTTTAGTACCAAGGGGATAAGGGAAAACATCAATTATTCCAACACAGAGAAACATGGGGTGGCACTATGCAAAAATATTTGTCCAATTAAATTTAATATGTAAATCAGTCTTAGAAAGTATCTTATCTGCCCAACCTGTGGGTCAGTCCTCAGAACAGTGGGAAAGGAGAGGCTGAGAGACTGTCTAGAGTGCTGGTCCAGCCAAGTTAACTGCTGAAATTGAATAACACGCTTTATAACCAACCATTATCCATAAACTACACAAGGAAACATTTGAGATGGTTTTTATTAAATATACAAAAGCAAAATAAATCAAGCTCTAGGAAGGTAGGACTACTTAATGGCATTTTCTTTGGATGGTGGTACAGCACCTTTAAGGTTAACTTAGATTTCAACAAACCTGGAGCACAAATAGCTAACTACATTCTATGTTTCTCTTAGCAGTTTTAGGGTCTACCCAGTCATCAATCTATTATTTAAGAACTTTTCTTCTCCAGAATACATAAACATGGTAACCAAAGAAATGCAATGTTTAGAAAAGCACTGAACAATAAAATTATTCATTCTTTTCCATGTTAAGATATTCACTACATCTTCACTTCCACAATGTGCATTAACAAAATCAATGTAGGATAAGACATTCACTCTCATCCCATAGACTGATCACCTTATATTGTTAATACTGTTTTCCAAAACCAAATAGAACAAACAGCAAAGCTGTTTACCCCTTTTAAACATTTAGCATTAGCTTTAGTGAAATTGTTCTACAAAAGCTACTCAACATATCCAGAAATAGAACCACATTTTGCTCTTGACGTCACCCTGGAGTATTAGTTCAGAACCAACTTCTGAGCTATATATTAGTCCCAGAGACTCATTAGCTGCTGGTCTGACTATAGATCAATGATTGGTTTGAGCAAAAAAACAATTGAGACTAACATTATTATTAGTTTCCAAAAAGAGTGACTGAGTACTTTCATGAACATTACTAGACACAGTGTCAATATTTTTGTCTTTCCCCTTTGAAAAGAATGTTTTAAAATATTTTTGCTATCAGAATTTCTGATTTACAATTATACTATACAACTGATTGGGAGATGCACATTTGTGGGTATTACATTATATAAACAAGTAAACTTAGATGTGTACTTTTAAAATACAGATCAGTACTTGAATGGGCTCCATGTATCACAATGCTATGCTGTAGCCACACCTAAGATGAAAGCCCAGCCCGCTGCTGGGTATAACAGACGCAACAGAAGCCATTACTTGCACCATGGCAATACCATTCCATGAACACTGATCATAAACATAACCTGAGGAAAAGAGAAGTGTTGTACCAAAGAAAATATTTTGCTAGCTTCAAAGTATATCTACAGCTCTATTTCCTTTCTATACAAATATCTGACATTTTTTAAAAAAAAAAAAAAAGCTGATTTGAGGAGCAGAGAAGAGCTCTTATGAGAGCTGTTAGCATGAGTGGTCCTCAAGATGAAAAATACTGAACCACCTTTGAGAGACAGACACACTTTGTGAGAGACCATTATCAGGGCATCTGAACCTGATGGTAGGTCTGACAGTTCATGTTTTAATCCATGGTGTTTCTCAAATGCTTTAGTAATACCTGGTACATGTCAAAAGTGGATGTCTGATCATTTCCTATCACGCCCCCTTCTCATGGAAAATAATTTAAATTTCAAACAAATAAGCAGTTTGTATATAGCCTAGGAGCCAACTCTCCTCTACTATGGGACAGGGGTGGGGAAATCAGTTGAGCACTATGAAAATCAAGAACCACCACTAATAAAATTCAGATATTGGCATTCAAATAAGTTTCTACCCATGATATAGTAGTATGACTCAAGAGAATAGCTCCTAAATAGACTACATTTGTTATATAAGAGTTCTAACTCAGGAGAATCTATAGTACCCATAGCAACAAAGAGCTGTTAGTGTAAACATAAGTCACAATGTGTTACAGTAATGGTTTCTTAGTTGGAAACCTCTTAAAGATAAAGCACTTAATATCAAAAGTAATTGTAACAAGGAGGGAAAGAGTATTTAAACAGCTGTCTGCAGAGGAATTATTGGAAGGATTATAACCCAGGCTAACTATGCCTCAACTGGACCTGCAAGAATAATATAAGTAAGGCTAAAGGGGCCCTGGCCAATGTGGATCGGTGGTTAGAGCATCAGCCTGCACACTGAAGGGTCTCGGGTTCAATTGCCAGTCAAGGGTACATGTGGGAGGCAACCAATCCATGTTTCTCTCACAATGCTGCTTCTCTCTTTTCCTCCTCTCCTCTCCCTCCCTTCCACTCTCTCTAAAAATCAATGGAAAAAATACCCAAAACAAAACAAACAGATTAATAGGTGGGGGTAGATGGGGCACAAATTAAATTCAGAGCAAGGAAAGAGTTAATGGGATATTGTCAAATGCAATTTTGTTTCCACTTTCTCCTGTAAGGGATTAAATTGCATAAAACACTAGAAAAGGTAAAGATGAGTAGATATTGAGAGACCATCCAAGAACTCAATGTTCTAATCACTTACGTGCCTAGGAACCAACAACCTACCACCAAGATGGGTGACCTTCACGGTCAATCATCTTTGAGGAATCAGCTAAGGACTACATATCTGGTTTTTAAAGCATGAGAAGGTGGCTTCCACAAATTGCAACCAGTAAACCCTGCATTAATCCTGAATATTCCAGAATACGTTATTAAAAGGATATTTGTTAAAACTTATAAAGGTTTTGAAAATACTTGGACAGGATTATTTATGAAAGCCCCAGGAAATCTATCTGGTGGATAGACTTGGCTGGGTCTCTCATGATCACAAGTAGTTGTAAACAAGAAAGAAAAGTCAGAAGTAGGTACTGATACAATCAGGTGGATCTGAAACTGAATGACTCTTCATATTCAGAGCATGAATTTTCAATGCCTAGCTGTGCTCGGCAAATAGTTTACTGCAGGAACTGACCAACAGTCAGTTCCCTCGAGGTGTTCCCCGGCTGTAATATACAAGGTCTGTAAAGCTTCTCATTATGAAATGGCGTGACTCCTCTCATTCTCCTGTTTCTACATCCTCTTCTTCAACATTATTCTCCTCTATTACCCAATCCCAAACAGTGACAGCTACTCTCCCAAAAGTGAGGAAGCATTTTTCTTAGATTTCTACAAAGATATCCATAAACACCCTTGATCATTATATGCAATTTCTATATATTGGTTTTCATTGTTTAAGAAACTCATCCATTTACACTATTTTCAATTGCCTTAACTTCCTCATCCCAAATGCAGCACAAAAATGCTTATGAAAACATGCAAGCCATAATTTAACTGCCTAAACAAAAATTAAGTCATTTTATCTTAAAACCTGCTG